TAGACTCAAAAGAAGGGTTAGTGACGACAGTAGCAAGGAGACGCGTGACAGTAGGACTGGCAGCACGAAGAGAGTCCGACTCCGGGTCGGGAAGAGCAGGAAGAGAGTATTCAGGAGGAGAAGGCAAAGGGGCACGCAGAGGAGCAGTGGACGGACGCAGAGACATCCGCTGCGTGCCAGGGACAGGAGGAGGAGGCTCACGCGAACTACGACCACTAGCGCGAACAGGACGGACAGGCGACGTAGGGCGAGACGCAGGCTCACGACGCTCAGCAAGACCTCCAGTAGGACCAGTGTAGGGAGAAGGAGCAGGCAAAGGGGAGGTAGGCTGCAGCTGTAACTATGGCTGGACAGGCTGCGAACACTCTAAGGGAGGAGGAGGACCAGTAGAAGGTGGAAGACCAAGAAACTGCTGCAGGAGTGGAACGAAGTACGGTCGAGGCCGCGTGGCGACGCCAGAAGCAGTAGGGACAGCACCAGTACCCTCAGTAGGAGCACCCGCTCCAGCAGCACCTCCAGCAGCTCCAGAACCTCCAGCAGCACCAGGAGCACCTCCAGCAGGACCGCCAGCGGCAGTCTCAGCGCCAACACCCGCAGCAGCACCAGCTCCAGTCGAACCCGCAGGCCCAGCAGCTCCAGTACTACCAGTACGAGCACCTCCGGGACCCGCGACCGTAGCACCCTCAGCAGCCGAAGAACCTCCAGCACCAGCAGCACGACGCTAGCGCCGGGCAAACCACTCGCGCAGCTCCTTTGGAGAGAGTGGCTCCCGGCGAGACGAAGCACCCGGAGAACCTCCAGGTGGAGCACCTCCACACGCAGTACCCCCAGGCGTAGCACCCCCAGGCTCAGCACCCCCCGGCTCAGTAAGCACAGGCTCAGCACCCCCAGGCTGGTACCAGGAAGAGTGGGGGTGGGGGGAGGGACAAAGTGCGGTAGGGGAAGAGGCGGTAGTAGGGGACCAACTTGTCAAACGTGACGTCCTGGGAGGACAGAACACGGCGAGAGGTGGGGTGGTAGAACTGCCACCCAGGCGCGTCAGGGGGGAACCCCAAGAAGACGCAAGGAGCAGCACGAGGGGACAGCTTGTCCGCAGACAAGTTGCGGACAAACGCCCGAGATCCCCAGACCCAGAACGCCGACGCATCGCCAACCTTCCCCGTCCACAGCAGGGCTGGGGAGGTCTCCGGCCTGGAGACCCTGGGGTGGAGGTTGAGCTGATGCGCCGCGTACCTGACCGCAAACGGCCACAGAAAATGGGGGGCAGCCGCATGCATCATAGACGTACGAGCGACGTCCATGACCATGCCAATGCGGCGCTCAGCAGTCCCATTTTGCTGCGGTGAGTCCGGAAGCGTGAAGGTCTGACGGATGCCGTGTGCACGACAGAAGGCTCGCAGAAGGCCAGAGGAAAACTCTCCGCCTCTGTCCGAGTGCAGACGCAAAACAGGAAAGTCCGAGCCAAAGCGCTGCCTAAGCTGAAGACGAGCTGCGCGGATCCTATCGATCAACACCTCAGTGACATCACCCTTGCTGCGCAAGGGGAAGACTGTGGTGTAACGCGAGTAGTCGTCAACAACGAGCAGAAAGTAGCACTCGTGACCTTGTCCACGGACGCGGGCTGGGCCCCACACGTCCATGTGAAGCGTCTGCAACGGGGCCTCTGTCGGAGGAAACTGGGAGGAGTGAGGGGCAGCACGCTGGCGCCCCTCGACACAGGGGACACAGGCAGGGCCACGGCCCTGAGGAAGGGGAGGGAGGGACCGGGGGAGACCAGACACAAGAAGACGGGAGGCCATGCCTCTGAGCCGAAGCAGAGAGGGGTGGCCAAGGCGGTGGTGCCAGAGGAGAGTCTCGTGAGACAGGAGACGACACGAACAGGGGGCAGACTTAGGACCAGACCTGGACGCCGCAGCAAACACCTGACCCGACGCAGCTACCCTACCAGACTCAGCAACTAGAGAGGACGCAGTGGTCAGAGTGTACAGGCTCCACCCCGGCTGACGGGTGAACGTAGCCAGGTGGCGGCCTGTGCCAGCCTCTGTACAGTGGGTCACTCTCCGACGCGCAGGAGTGAACTGGTGGACCCCCGCATCCTGTAGGTCAGCACCACTCACCAGGTTCGTCGAGAACGAGGGGAGGTAGAGACCAGACAGGGTGCCAGAGGGAGCCGCCGGACAAGGGAGGACTGTGGAGAAGCGAGACAGGACAGGACCCCCAGAGGGGTCAGCCAGAGACACCGCAACCGGCCGACTAAGCGACGTGAGTGTGGTGCGGTCTCGAAAGAAGGAGCGAGACGCCCCAGAGTCAAGGGTGAAGGTGAGGGAGGCCGAAGCCGACGTAGTGCCTGAGAGCGCAGACTCACCAGTACCTGAGGACGCAGACACACCAGCACCTAGAGCAGCAGCGTTGCACGCACCTAGGGCAGCAGCCGTACCAGTACCTAGAGTAGCAGTCTCAATGCCCGCATCGGGCGGAAAACACCGGTAACGGTCACCCTCATCACTAATAGAGACAGCATACATGGCAGAAAGAATAGCATCAAAGTCAAGATCAAAGATGGCCACACCCGCCCTAGACAACTCGCCCCAGCGAGGGATCTCTGAGGCCTCCGGGAACTGGTGACGCCACGCGTCCGTCAGGCGGCCAAAGCAGCGCTGGGTGGGGTGCGCACCCCCACACTGCTCACCCGCACGGTCGCCGGTGCGCAGGACGTAGGTGCACGGACCAAAATCCCCACCCCGCTGGCGTGCAGTGTACCACTCACGGAGCTGCTGAGGGGACAGGGTCTCACGACCGCGCTGCTGCTGCTGGCGCGACCCACCACCCGAGCCACTCCTCTGCGACGACCCGCGACCAGCTCCACCGCCACCCCCACCGCCTCCGCCTCCTCCGCTGCCTCCACCACTGCCGCCGCCTCCGCCGCCGCCTCCACGGCCGCCTCCTCCGCAACCTCCGCTCCAACCGCCACCGCCGCCACCGCCTCCGCCTCCACTGCCGCCACCGACCCCTCCACCCCCACCTCCACTCACACCGCCACCCCCACTCCCCCCACCGCCTCCACCTCCACCTCCACCGCCCGCTCCTCCAGCTCCCTTGCCCCCCTTGCCCTTGCCAGGGCGGCGTCTCCCGCTAGGGGCAGACGCCGCACCGACCGACTCAAGACCAAGGAGGTCGGCCGCAGCAGCAGAGGCAACAGAGGGCAGCAGGGGGGAGGGAGAACACCCCTCAAAGATGGGGGTGCGCGGGTCACCTCGAGAGGCTCCTACAGCGACGATGCTCTTCTCTATCGCTAGGAGGGCCTTTTCGAGGAGGTCTACGGTGAGCGTGGTGGGACAGACTGAGAGAAAGTGGTCCCTGACTACGCGAAGGGAGTTAGGGAGGCGAGTGACTAGGAAGTACAGAGTGATGTACATGGGGGGGGGGTTCGCGGCGCAGAAGTCAGCAGGGAGTGCAGCGCGGTAGCGAGTGTCACTAGTGCGGAGGTGCGTGATGAGGTCAGCTACGGTGGGAAAAGCAGCAAGGTCAGGGAAGAGGTACGGCAGCATGAGACGGCTCAGTGCAGCAGTGGCAGGGGAGGAGTAGCGCACGACTACAGCGTCGTACAAGGTCTGAGCACTCTTGTAGTGGCTAAAGTGCGCATGCTCGGAGGTAGGGAGGTGGCGACGCACAGCAAGACGTGCAGCAGCGTCGCGCGTGGCCCACTGGGAGCGAACAGTGGCGTCAGCATTAGCAGCAGGGGCAGGGGAAGCGCCAGAGGTAAGGTCAAAGAGAGAGAGGCCGTCTGCCCTATCGCACTGTAAGAACAGCTGCAGGTCGTCGACCCAGACCTCAAAGTCTACGGCTCGTCCCTGAGCGTCAAACGTGAGGACACTAGGGGTAGCCATGACGACAGATGTCGAGCAGTGTAAACAGTAGGGGAGGGAGGGCCGTGCAGGGGGAGAAGGCACTGTGCTCACCAGACAGGGCAGCTCTGACGGTCCAGCTGCTGGGCGGCTCGGTGGCAGGGCGGCTCGGCGGCAGGGCGGCTCGGCGGAAGGGCGGCTCGGCGGCAGGGCGGCTCGGCGGCAGGGCGGCTCGGCGGAAGGGCGGCTCGGCGGCAGGGCGGCTCTCGTGCAGGGCGGCGCGGCGGCGCTGGTTCAGGGCGGCGCGGCTGTCGTAGGTAGGGCGGCGGGTGAGCCGCAGGTAGGGCGGCGGGTGGGGCCGCAGGTAGAGCGGCGGGTGGGCCGCAGGTATGGCGGCGGGTGAGCCGCAGTTAGGGCGGCGGGTGCGCCGCAGGTAGGTCGGCGGGTGGCCGCAGGTAGGGCGGCGGGTGCGCCGCAGGTAGGTTGGCGGGTGGCCGCAGGTAGGGCGGCGGGAAGGGCCGCAGGTAGGTAGGCGGAGGGCCGTAGGTAAGGGCGGCGACGGACCGTAGGTAAGGGCGGCGACGGGCCGTAGGTAGGGCGGCGTCGGGCCGTAGGTAAGGGCGGCGACGAGCCGGTGGAAGGGCGGCGCAAAGCCGCGGGTAAGGGCGGCGACGGGCCGGGGCGGCGCGAAGCCGCAGGTAAGGGCGGCGACGGGCCGGGGCGGCTCGAAGCCGCAGGTAGAGGCGGCGCGAAGCCGCGGGAAGGGCGGCGACGGGCCTGGGCGGCGCGAGGCCGCAGGTAGGGGCGGCGCGAAGCCGCCGGTGAGGGCGGCGCAAAGCCGCGGGTAAGGGCGGCGACGGGCCGGGAAAAAGGGCGGCGCGCCGCAACCGCTAGGGCGGCTCGACGCGACCATAAGGGCGGCGCGACGGGCCGCTAGGTGCGACTCGACGGGCCGCTAAAAAAAAGGAAGGCGCGACTCGAGGCGCGCTTCGGTGGGCCAAAGGAACAATCCCTAGGAGGGGACCTGCTCTGATACCATGTGAGAATGAGAACAAGAATGCATCAACTATGAATGAAGTGAGTACATATAGGAAACCCTAAAATGGGTTGTACCCCCTATGGGATACCCCACTATAGCCTACACAACAGCATAAGCTATAATGTTCTGACAATCTCTACGTCCATGGATGACTGCCACTGAGAGGAGTAGGGACCCTCAATCGCCTCTGCGTAAAAGCGCGGGGTCGGGATGTCTGGTGCATCCGGGTCTCCCTCAGGTGCAATCAGCATAGACACGAGATGAGGTACAGCAGCTGCAAAGCACTCAAAGTCCTCCTGCCTGTCCTCAAAGCGTCCATTCCAAGAGCACACTCACCCCCGATGGACGGAGGACAGACAGACTCGGACTCAGCAACAAGACTAGCGGCGTAGACTAGACGACAGGCGGCAGCAAAGTCAACAAGCTCAGCAACGAAGGCAGACGCAGTAGTGGACTCAAACGAAGGGTCAGTGACAACAGTGGCCAGAAGACGTGTTACAGTAGGACTAGCAGCAGGAATTAAGTTAGACTCAGGGTCCGGTTCGTCAGCAAGAGAGGACGTAGGAGGAGACAGCAGAGGGACATGTAGTGGAACAGAGGAAGGACGAAGTGCCATCTGGTGCGTGCCAGGGACAGGATGAGGACGCAGGCACGGAACACGATGACCAATGCAAACAGGGCGAACAGGCGAGGCAGGACAAGACGCAGGCTCACGACGCTCTGTCAACGAGTGTGTCTTCTCAGGGTAAGGAGAACGAGCAGGCAGTGGGGAGCCAGTTGACGATGGGATGCTAAGAACCTGGCGAAGCACTGAGTTAGGCGGTGGCAGAGACGACGGTGACGGCGGAGCGAAGAGCACTCGCCGCTGTGTAATACCACCAGCACCAGGACCACCAGCTCCAGCATCTCCAGTATGAGTAGCAGCAGCCCCAGCGCCTCCAGCAGCTCTAGAACCTACAGCTCCAGGGCCTCTAGCTCCAGCGCCTCCAGCCCTAGCGCCTCCAGCTCCAGTGGCTCCAGCTCCAGAGCTTACAGCCCCAGCAGCTCCAGTATCTCCAGCACCAGTAGCACCACCAACCCCAGCTGCTCCAGTACCTTCAGTATGAGCACCACCGGGACAAGCAGCTCCAGCACCTGCAGCACCACCAGCTCCAGCAGCTCCAGTACCTCCAGCACTAGCACCTCCAGGACCAGCAACTCCAGCTCCAGGGCCGCCAGCCCTAGCGCCTCCAGCTCCAGGGTCTCTAGGACTAGTAGCCCCAGCACCCCCAGTACGAGCACCTCCGGGACTGGCAGTGCCAGCACCACCAGCAACTCCAGCACCAGCAGCACCACCAACCCCGGCAGCTCCAGTACCTCCAGTACGAGCACCTCCACGACCAGCAGTGCCAGCTCCTCCGGTACCTCCAGCTCCAGCGGCTCCAGCCGCAGTGCCTCCAGCTTCAGCAGCGCCATTCCAAAGGCGGCAGCGCTAAGCGTACCACTCGCGTAGCTACCGCGGCGAGAGAGTACCTCCAGAACCTCCAGTACGAGCACCTCCAGGACTAGTACTTGCAGCACCACTAGCACCAACAGCACCATCAGCTCCGGCAGCTCCAGTACCTCCAGTACGAGTATCTCCAAGGCCTCCCTCTCCAGCAGCGACACTCCAAAGGCAGAGCTGCTGAGCGTACCACTCGCGCGGCTACTGCGGTGAGAGAGGATCTCGTAGTGGAGAAGCAGTACCCCTAAGCGCAGCACCCCCAGACTCAGCAACACCAGGCTCCGCACCCGCAAACTCAGCTACCCTAGGCTCCGCACGCTTAGGCTCAGCACCCCCAGGCTCCACACACTCAGGCTCAGCACCCGCAGGCTCAGCACCCCCAAGCTCCGCACGCTCAGGCTCAGCACCCCCAGGCTCCGCACGCTCACGCTCAGCACCCCAAGGCTCTGCACCCGCAGGCTCAGCACCCCCAGCAGCACCTGAGTCACAAGTGACCTTGACAGGCTCAACCAAGGGGAGTGGGTCTACCTGAGACACACCTGAGGGAGCACGATCCTGAGGGGGGAGGGGGTCTACCGGAGGGGGACCTAGAGCGAGGAAGAGCGGCGAAGGGGGGAGAGGGGCAGTGCGGTAGGGGAAGAGACGGTAAAAGGGGACTGACGCGTCAAACGTGACGTCCTGAGAGGGGAAGACACGGCGCGTGGTGGGGTGGTAAAACTGCCAACCAGACGCGTCAGGGGGAAAGCCAAGGAAGACACAGGGAACAGCGCGGGAGGAGAGCTTGTCCGCGGAAGCATCGCGGACAAAGGCACGACATCCCCAGACCCAAAACACCAACTCATCGCCAACCTCCCCCGTCCAACGCAGTGTGGGCGAGGTCTCCGACAAGGAGACACGAGGCCAGAGGTTGAGCTGATGCGTAGCGTACTGGACAGCAAACGGCCACAGAAAAATGAGGGCAGCTGCATGGATCATGGAGGTACGAGCGACCTCCATGACTAAGCCAATGCGGCGCTCAGCAACCCCATTCTGCTGCGGAGAGGCCAGAAGCGTGAACGTCTGCGGATGCCTTCCCCATGACAAAAGTCCCGCAAGAGGTCGGAGGCAAACTCACCACCTCTGTCAGAGTGCAGACGCAGGACAGGAAAGTCCGAGTGGAACCGCTCGCGAAGCTGGAGACGGACAGCGCGGATCCAAGGGATCAAGACATCAGGGACCTCCCGCTTGCTGCGCAAGGGGAACACCGTGGTGTAACGCGAGTAGTCGTCAACAACCAGTAGAAAGTATCGCTCGCAGCCCTGTCCACGGACGCGGGCTGGGCCCCACACGTCCATGTGAAGAGTCTGCAAGGGAGCCTCTATCAGGGGAAACGAGGAGGAGTGAGGAGCGGCACGCTGCCGCCCCTCGACGCAAGGAAGACAGGGCCGCAGACGAGTGTGGGAGGGCAGGCAGAGACCTGGGAAGACCAGAGACAAGGTAGCGGGAGGGAGGGGTGGGAGGGTAGGCAGAGACCCGGGAAGACCAGAGACCTGACAAGACCAGAGACACGGAGGCGTGGCAGGGAGGGGTGACCAAGGCGGTGGTGCCAAAGGAGAGTCTGGTGCGATAGGGCGCGACACGAGCAGGGGGCCGCAAGCTGACCTGACGCGGACGCAGACGCAGCTACCTTGGGAGGCTGAGTAGTCAGTGTATACAGACTCGACCCAGGCCGACGGGTGCACGTGACCAGGTGACGGCCCATCCGTGCACACGTGCAGATCGACACACGCTGACCCCCAGGAGTAAAGGTATCAACCATCGCATCCTGGAGGGCAGCGGTACTCACCAAGTTTGTAGAGAACGAGGGGAGGTGAAGACCTGAGAGTGAGCCGGACGGAACCGCCGGACATGGGAGAACAGTGGTAGAACGGGCAAGAACTGGGGCCCCAGAGGGGTCAGCCAGTCTAACAGCAACAGGTGCAGGGAGTGGTGTGACTATGGTACTGTCACTAAAGAAGCAGCGGGAAGCACCTGAGTCAAGCGTGAAAGTGTGCAAGGCCTCAACAAGCACAGTACCAGAGAGAGCAGACTCACTAGCACCTAGAGCAGCAGCCTCTATGCCTGGGTCGGGCGGCACACACAAGTAACAGTCACCCTCAGTACTAATAGTCAATGGATACATGGCAGTAAGGATGACGTCATAGTCTAGCGCAAAGACATCGACGCCCTGCCTAAGCAGCTCTAGCGACCGGGGGAGCTCAGCCGCGTCGCCAAACTCTGCACGCCAGGTGTCGCTCAGACAGGAAAAGCAGCGAGACTGTGTGTGGCCAGGTGTCCCGCATGTCTGACCAGCCAAATCACCTGTGTGGATGACGTACTGGCAGCGAGCACTGCTCAAAGACCCCCCACACTAAGCGTACCACTCACGAAGCTGCTGGGGCGTAAGGGTCTCGCGCGGACACGGCTGCAGCTGCAACAGGCCACCGCCAGAAACTCCCAACCGACTAACTGCACCGCGACTGCCACTACGGCCGCCGCCACGACACCTACGGGCGTACCACTCACAAAGCTACTGGGGCATAAGGGTCTCGCTCGAACATCGCTGCAGCTGCATCTAGCCACCGCTAGAAACTCCCCACCAAACAGTTCCGAAGCGACTGCTACTGAGGCCGCCACCACTCCCACCGCAGCCGTGAAGGGAAGTCATGCGACCAGCAGGGCAGCACGTAAGGCAGGAAAGGCGGCGAGGAGGCACTAGGTAAGTCGGGGCAGTGCACGATCAGGGCAGGGCGGCGCGCGGTCAGAGCAGGGCGGCGCGCAGCCAGAGCAGGGAGGCGCGCGGCCAGAGCAGGGCGACGCGCGGCCAGAGCAGGGCGGCGCGTGGCCAGAGCACGGCGGCGCGTGGCCAGAGCAAGGCAGTAGCAGGCAGCAGCAGGCGGTAGCTGATAGGGTAGAAGCAAGTAGGGCCTTTTTTATTATTATTATTATTCGGGGTTTAGCAGGGCGCTGGCGCAGGGCAGGGCGCTGGCGCAGGGCAGGGCGCCAGCTCGCGCACGACAGGGCGTTGGCGCAGGGTAGGGCGCTGGCGCAAGGCAGGGCGCTGGTGCACAGGAGGGCGCTAGCACAGGGTAGGGCGCCAGCGCGCGTAGGGCAGAGCGCTGGCGCAGGGCAGGGCGCTGGCGCAGGGCAGAGCACTGGCACATGGGCTGCAGCAGTGCGTGATGCGAGGGGCAGCAAGGCACGATGCGCAGGCTGTAGCAGGGCGCGACGTGTGGGCTGCAGTAGGGTGCGACGCGCGGGGCAGCAGGGCGCGACGCGCGGGGCAGCAGGGCGCGACGCGCGGGCTGCAGCAGAGCGCGACGCGCGGGGCAGCAGAGCGCGACGCGCGGGCTGCAGCAGGGCACGACGCGCAGGGTAGCAAGGCGCGGGGCAGGGCAGGGCGTGCACGGGGCAGCGCGACGCGGGGCAGGGCAGGGCGTGCGCGGGGCTGCGCGACGCGGGGCAGAGCAGGGCGTGGGGTAACGCGGTAACCGCAGTCGGTCACTAGGTAATGGTGGGCCCGGAAAAATAACTGTCATACGGACCTACTGTTCTGATACCATGTCAGAATCTAACGAGCGGGAATGAATGAACTAGCAGCAAGATGTGTACAAGTAGGAAACCCTAATTGGGTTGTACCCCATATAGGCTACCCCACTATAGCCTACACTATAAGCAGCATTATAGTTAGACAAAAAATACTCTTTATGTCCTTCTTGTACCCCTCCCCCCCTTACCCTAATCATCCATTATCTCTTAGCTCCTTAGTTTAAGAGATGGTATTACGAGTAGGTGAGTTCCTAGCCTAAAAACAACTTGCCCCGCCCCTTAGTACCCCATCTCGCTAACAGGCCGCACCCTGCCCGTTCGCACGCAGCTGCACGCACACGCAGTTACACGCGCACCAGCATTACGAACAGCAGCCGCGTGCTGCAACTGCCGTCGGCACGAATGTCCGCATGCACTGTAGGAGCCACCCGCGCAACCGCCGCAGCCCGCGCAGCAACTGCCGCTCGCGCAGAAGCAGCCTGCACACGCCGAGTGCAGTTGCGCTTATCCCTAACTTAACCCCCCCCCCCCTCTCGAACTCCTTCTAGGAGCCCCGATGACACGCACCGAAATAGATAGAGCAATCTCTTACCTCCCGAAGGGCAAGACGTCAAGCACAAACGGCCTATCCAACGAGCTATACCGCTCCTATAAAGCCCGTTTCACCCCGCTGCTGCACGCCATGTTCACCGCATCCTCCTCCCTCCACACGCCCTCCCCCATCAATGCTTCGCAGCCAAATGGTTCTCAATCCCAAGAAGGGTGATGCATCCCTTCTGGACAATCTCAACCTGTCAGAACTATGCTCTAGGCTGTAGTGGGGCACTCCTTAAGGGGTACAGCCCAATTAGGTTTTGCCTATACAAACCTTGTACTGATGTGTTTCTAGTCATTCTTCACTCCTAATTCTGACATGGTTTCAGAGCAGGTTCCCTAGTGGGAACGTTTTTTTTTAGGGCCCACCACGATAAAATATTTTTTCCTGCCCTGCCCAAAGCGCGCCTCGCGCCTGCCTCACCAGCGCCATCGCGCGCCCTTCCTTACTGCGGCCCATAGCGACCCTGCCCTTTCGCGGCCCGTCGCGGCCCTGACCTAGCCGCCCGTCGCGGCCCTGCCATGTCGCCGCCCTTCGCGGCCTGCTCTGGCCACTCGTCGCGGCCTGACCTAGCCGCCCGTCGCGGCCCTGCCCTGCCGCCCCTCGTCGTGGCCCTAACCTCGCCGCCAGTCGCGGCCCTACCCTGCCGCCACCTGTCGCGGCCCTGCCCTGCTGCCGCCCCGTCGCGGCCCTGCCCTGCCGCCGCCTCGTCTCGGCCCTACCCTACAGCCGCCCCGTTGCGGCCCTGACCTAACCGCCTGTCGCGGCCCTGCCCTGCACCCGCCCCTGGTAAGCGCCCGCCCTGCAAAGCGCGCCGTCGCGCCCGCTGCCTGCCGCCGCCGCGCCCGATGCCTGTCGCGCTGCCCCGCGCACGCCATGCCCTGCCCCGTTAGGCCCGCCGCGGGCCCGCCCTTAGCGCCGCCCCTCCTGCCCGTTACGCCCGCTGCCACGCCCGCCCGTTAGGCCCGCCACGGGCCCTGCCTTCGCGCCGCCGCGCCTACCCGTTTGGCCCGTCACGGGCCTGTCCGCTACACCCACCGCGGGCCCGCCCCTTGCGCCCGTTGTGCCTACGTTTTGCGCCCACCGCGGGCCTGCACTCTCGCCAGCGCCCTGCCCTGCCAACGCGCTAGCGCCCTGCCCTGCGCGCACTGGCACCTTGCCCTGCCCTGCCCGAGCCGCCTCTGCAGCGCCCTGTGCGCCCTGCTAAATCCTAAAATAAAAAAAATAAATAAATTAAAAAGAAAAACTCTCGGTGCTTCTGCCCAAGAAGCTACTGTTTGCTACTGGCCGCGCGCCGCCCTGCTCTGGTTGCATGCCGCCCTGCTTTGACCGTGCAACGCCCTGACCTACCCTAGTGCCTCCTCGCCGCCCTTTCTTCCCTACGTACTGCCCTGCTGGTCGCATGACTTCTCTTCACAGCAGCGGTGGGAGTGGTGGCGACGGTGGCGGCAGCAGTGGGAGTGGTGGCGGCCGTCGTAGCAGTCGCTGTGGAGCTGTTCGGTGGGGAGTTTCTGGCGGTGGCCAGATGCAGCGTAGTGGCTGTGAAGAAATGAGGAATGAAGAAGGAGGGATTGCACTAGCAGCAGTTGGCATACATATAGGAAACCCTACTTGGGTTGTACTCGCTATAGAGTACCCCACTGCAGGCTAGACAATTATAACATACTGACACACCCCCATAGCCAAAGTGGGGTGTAATCAGCACAATGAGCAAGCAAGCATAGAGCAGGAGTTCACAATAGCGAGCAAAGCTAGAGTTAATCACAGCGGGCAAATGAGGAGGAGGAGGAACTGTGGAGAGAGAGAAGATGGGAGGCAACGACTGAAGCTGCAG